AGTTTTAGGAGGTACACAAATTTCTAAAGACTTTCTTACTCCACATCCTAGAAAATCTTTCAAATTTAGAATGCATATTTTAGGAGCAAATCTGTGGCTGATTTTACCTTAGGTGACAAGAACTGAATTTCAGCAGCCAACTCTCTATATGAATCATGGTTATGAGTCTCCACAGAAGCAAAATACTGAGAAATGACTACAATTTTTTTCATTCTGATATGAGGGCAGCAATAAATCTTATACCCTGTATCCATTAGGCATCAATGAATAAATACAAAAATATGAATTCAGTTTCTGGTTTTTAGTCTAAGACTATTGCAAAGAAGAAATCAAATAATAATGTTACTAGCTAATACTTCTATAGCCTTTTAGTTTCCAAAGAATTTTTGTATGTTACTAAATACAGCCTTTGAACAAAGCATTAATCGTATTACAATATGAAAGCTGAGTCTTCAGTGAATTGAGCAACAGCTAAAGTGGGATGTATTCTTTCAAGGTATGATGGGGAAAAATCTTGAGGGGAATAAAAGAAAGCTGAATCTCAGATTAAGTACCTGTATTACTTTCATATTGATGCGATTAACAATTACCACAAACTTTAGTGGTTTAAAACAACACAAATTCATTCTCTCATAGTTCTGTCGAAGTTTGGTATGCGTCTCACTAGAATAAAATCAAGGTGTTGGTAGACTGTGTTCCTTTCTAGAGGCTCCCGGGGAGAGTCTGTTTTCTGCTTATTTGGATGGCCAGATTCATTTCCTTATTTGGGTTCAGCTCCTGGTGATTGTAGGACTGAGGTCATCATTTTGCTGTGGGCTATAAACTGAGAGCTGTTTTTAGCTTCTAGAGGCCAATACATTCCCCCGCTTATAGCTTCCTTCCTTCATCTTCAAAGACAGCAAGGTGGGTTAAGTACTACATAGTATCTCTCTGATTCTGTTTGGAAAATGTTCTCTGCCTTTAAAAGACTCAAGTGATTAGACTAGACTCACACAGATAATTCAGAATAATCTTCCCATCTCAAGGCCTGTAACCTTTATTACCTCTACAAAGTACCTTTTGCCATGTAAGGTAACATTCATAGGTTCTAGAGATCAGGCTGTGGATATCTTTTTTTGAGGGGGGGAGGGTGGCAAGGTGGTGTAATAGCATTACTGTCTACTGCAGTGCCTAACTTCAAATGCAAGCTTATTGATTTCAAATAATCAACTTTCACTGTGATCTCTCTCTACGCACACTTCTCTCTCAGTGGTCTTAAAACAGAGAATAACAATCATAAGAAAACCATTAAAGTTGAAGCACAGATAACCATTTTAACTAAGATACATAATTTTTAACTTTGAAATGTTTTAAACATAAAGTAATGAAGGAGACATAAACCTACCATTTAAATAGGCATTAACACGTTGACACATTAATTCAGCTCCCTTTCCTTTTTAACTTTTTAGAGAAATGAAACATCTCTCCACCATAACAACTTCCCCTCTTCCCCTCCCCCACTGTCTTGCCTTCCCAGAGGCAATCACAATCTGGAAGTCAGTGTGCTTTTATTTCTTAACTATACAGGAATACATAAGGGAACTCAAAAGTTCATGGAATGATTCATATTACCTTTGAATTCCATTTTTCCATGAACTTTTTGAAGTACATTTATATGCAGATGGCTCCCCATATCCAACAGTTCCATATCCATGGATTCAACCAACCTCAGATTGAAAATATTCAGGGAAAAAAATAATTGTGTCTGTACCGAACGCATACACTTTTCTTGTCATTTATTTATTCCCTAAACAATACGGTAAAACAGTTTACATAGCATTTGCGTTGAATTAGGTATTATAAGTAATCTAGAGATTATTTAAAGTATATGAGAGGATGTGCATAGGTTATCTGCAAATACTACACCATTTTACAACAGGGACTTGGGCATTTGAGGATTTTGGTATCCGAGGGAGGTCTGAGAATCAATCCCCCATGGACACCAAGAGAAGACTGTATATAAGCAATATATACTATTTTCTGTACTTTAGAATTTTAATTTAGTACATTGCTATCAAATTTCTTACAACTTACCTTTTACACTTATTGTTTGGGTATTCATGTTGATGAATATAGTTTATTAATTTTAACCGTTGTATAATATCTCATTGTTTTGGATTATAGGGGTGTCTTAGCTTAGGCTGCCTTAACAAAATACCATAGACTGGTTGGCTTAAATAACAGAAACTTATTTTCTCAGTTCTGGAGGCTGAAATCTCAGATCACGGTGTCAGCACGGTTGCGTTCTGGTGAGGGCTCTTCCTAGCTTGCAGATATGTCCACCTTGTTGCTGTGTCCTCGCATGGAGGAGAGAGCAAGCAGCTTCTTGTAAGGACATAATCCTACCTTATCAGTGCCCCACCCTTATGACCTTATTAAATTTTAACTATTTCCTTAAAGGTCCTATCTCTAAATAGTAATACTGGGGGTTGGGGCTTCAACATATGACTTTGGAAGGGACACAATTCAGTGTATAGCAAGGAGTGTTTATGATTTTTTTTCTCAATGAAGCATGTGATAAAATCCTCTGCCTGGGCCAGGAGGAGGGAGGGGCCGGAGACAGGGAGGAGGGGATGGAGAATTTGAGAGTGGAGTTAAGAACTTAGTAAACAAATACAGAAAAACTGCTGGGCCTATTTGAGGTATGTGGTCATGAATTTAGCATCAAGTCTGTCCACTGTGTGATTTTCTCCAGCTACTTGTTCTGATGTAGGAACAGAAAAGGCAAAAAACACACTTGTGTTCAACAGGAATGGAGTTTAAGCAAATGAGAATAGAAGAAAGCACAATGCTGTTGAAGGTTTTACAGTAGAATGCCTATAAGGGTCCGTAGCATCAGAATAAGGATGCAGGTGCACACAAAAAGGGGGTTATTTTAGTTATCCATCGTGGCCTAATTATCCATCTCAAAATTTACAAGCTTAAAGAAAGCATTTTATTTTCCTCACAATTTTGTCGTTAAGGAATTTGAGAAGAGTTCTGCTAGATGGTTGTCTCTGCTGCACTTGGTGTCATCTAGAGCAGCTGAAGCTTAAGTATCCATTTCCAATGCGGCTTCTTCACTAATGTCTGATGTCTCATTCTTCAGTCTCTCCATGTGGTGTGGGCTTTTCCAGTATGATCTCAGCATAATCAAATATCTTTCATGGCATCTGGCTTTCTAAGAGGAAGTGTTCCAAAGAGGAAGTAAAGGATGCCAGACCTATTAATGGCTGAGTATGGAACTGGCAATGTCACTTTTACTGTATTCTATTGGTCAAAGCAGTCACAGAACCTATCCAGATTCAAAGAGGTAGAAATAACTCAACCTCTTGATAGGGGAGTAACAAGGTCATACTACAGAAGAACATATAGGAAAATCCTTTCATAAAGCTTACAGTCTAGTTGAAGAGGTAGCCAAAGATATCATGATAAAAAAATATAAGGTAAATGCTGTTACAGTGTTAGAAAACAAAGCCCTATAAGAGCAAGAGGAAACAATTTTGACTGGAAAAAAAGTGATGAACTTCTACCAAAGTTGAAATATAATTTTGACAGGCTGGTTGAGTTTAGGGAATAAAATAATCATACACAGGGACAGACACCCCTATGGCATGTGTGGGAAATACTAAGAAATCCAGTGTGAGCAGAACAGGATAAATAGAATCACAGAGGATAATATATACAATAGTAATAAATTTGGCTTTATTTTGTAGGTTTAAGAGAGTAACTTGAGATTTTTGAACTAGAAAAGTAAGTGGTAGGTGGGTGATATAGTTAGTTGGATCTACAGTTTAGGTAAGAAGCTGACAGCAGAGTCCAGGATAATATGGAGGCAGAAGATTGAAAATGTAGCCAAGATTAGCTAAGAGGTTCCTATAATAGTCCAAATAAATAAAGTTGACCAGAATCTGCAAATACAATTTAGAGATCAACTGGGTTACATTGAAGACATCCTCACTGAATACAGACAAAACAAAAAAAATCTTAAGTACTTATAATTTATTAAGTTTAAAGAAATCCACCTAGTTTAAATTATTTCTGAGGAACCTATAACTATAAATAGAAAATTACTACAATGTGCACTGTTACAAACTGACTTGAAACAACATATTACTTTATTGTGACTTAAGGTTATTTTCGTTTGTATTATTTATTTTAAATTAAGTATTAGCAAAATGTAACATGGGAATACTTAAAAATTTAACACTACATTAACTCTCCCAATTATGTGAACATAATTTATGCAAAAATTTTAAGTTTCTTCCCCCACGGTCACCTAATATACTTCTAATCTTTTCATAATTAGCTGACAGACTTTCAAAGAATAACAATTTATTAGCCTAAAGAAACTAAGTGAAATATGGCCAAAAATAATCACCATTCATTTACAAAACAATTAGTATATTACTTGCTATTCAGAGTCAACTAATATTTATTGAGCACCTCCTATTTTCCAGGACCAAAAACATGTTTGTTAACTTACAGAATTCTCAAAACCATCCTTTAAGTAATAGTATTTTTTATTTCACACATGGAAAAACTAAGAATAAGACTGATAGAACTTGCTCAACAAAATAGGAAGTAACAGGATAGTCACACTGACTGCCAATTTTAAGGGAACATATCTTCTATTTTTTCATATTTGTGTTATCAGTCTTTGCTTTTACATTTCTTTTTCTTAAATTATCTGATGGGCCGGCCCGGTGGTGCGCTGGAGAGTGTGCCGCTTGGGAGCGCGGCGGCGCTCCCGCCTAGGGTTCGGATCCCATGTGGAGACTGGTTCCCGCTCACTGGCTGAGCGCGGTGCAGGCGCAACACCGAGGGTTGCGATCCCGTTACCGGTCAGTAAAAAAGACAAAAAGGAAAAAAAAAAACTACAATAGATCTAAACAAGCAGACTTATCATGATCCCATGTGGAGACTGGTTCCCGCTCACTGGCTGAGCGCGGTGCAGGCGCAACACTGAGGGTTGCGATCCCGTTGCCGGTCAGTAAAAAAGACAAAAGGGGAAAAAAAAATTATCTGAATATAAGCAGCATTTTAATTTATATTACACCACTTCCCTTTCCTAAGAGAAAACTTTTGTCTCCCTGAGGGCATCACCATTTATCTGTAATTTCTTGCTTATAAATTTCAATGAAATACACAAAAGTAGGACTGTATGCTGTTAAGTATTACTCTCTTATTCTAGAATTTAAAAATGACACAAGCGCACATTTTAAAAGCTACACCTATAAAGAAATAGATGCAAACTATGAATTCTAAAATATGTATATATTTAAAATTAACTTCGTTAATTTTTGGTTTATAAATATAACTTTATAAATATAGAATGTTAAGAAGCTTAAATGACTATGTATTGTGATGGTTAGCCACATATAAGGTACTGAAATACACATTCTTTTAAGTTTAAAGTACCTGTCCTAAGAATTGGGCTAATGAGTATTCATTAGTTTACTTCAATTGGAATAAAATTATAAAAGTATTTTTCTTTACATTACAGATATATAACTATAGACAAAAGGTCAAACACCACAGAATTCAATAAATATAGAGGATAATCCAATAGTTTAAAATATCAAATTCTAGCCAACTTCTAGTATTATGAAAGTATATATTATCTTATAGAAAACCTGTTCTAATGAAAGAATCTAAACAGAAAGGGTAGAAACTCTAAAGAAACAGATAATCAGAGATCTAATAAGTACTCTTATTTTACAGATTAGGGACTGAGGCTCAATCTTGATAAGTAACTTGCCCAAATCATATACCAATGGTAGAACCAGGAAATTACTGAACCTGACTTCTATTCTGGTCTATTCTCTGACCATATCTTTGTTCTCATTTCTGACTGAATAATACTTTTTACTCACTATATTCTAACTTTACTTTGGAAAATAATCAATAAAACTGTTTTCTCTCTAGTACAACAACTCTCTGGTTTTTCTCAGACATGAGCATTATAAGAACAGCATGCAGTTCATAACATTAGAGCACTTTCATAGCTTCATTAAGATGAGATCTTTATACAGGAAAAAGTTCACTTTATAAAAGTCATAGCTTTAAAACCTTTACTTTTACTCTACATCATTGTGACTTCGTATGTTGTGAAATGATTTTCTATAATCTTGACATTTTCTTCAGATAGCCAATTTTCCTGTTTTAGTTGCCTAATAAGAGCTTCTAAAGACTTCAGTCTTCCTAGAGTTTGTTGCTCTTGTAGCTCAAGAAGAGTTATCTTTGAATGTAGCTTACAGACTTTCTGCCAAAGATGTTCCTTATTTATGTCTTGCCTACAGTAAGAATGTTCAATTTGCAAAACTTCTGTTCCATAGTCTATATCCTTATATAAGGAGTCTTCAATATCTATGTTTTCCATTTCCATGGTTTCTTTCTGGGCAGGTGTAAAAGAATTAACTGCAGCTGTAGAATTTTCTGTGGGTACAAAAATGGCAATAAGAGATTCTTTATTTGTGTTTAATTCCTCAACTGTTTGATTAATTGTGCTGAAGAAGAATGGATTTTCCTGTGTTGACTTAATTTCCATGGAATTATTTGTAAAGTTTGAATTAGCAAGATGATTGGTAGTTATTTCAAGCACTTCTTGGGCTTCCAAAGCCTGTTGAATACCTTCTGAATTTGAAGTTGTCAAAGTAATAGTGGTAGAATTTAGATTCTCAAAAGATGAGTGAAAACCCCCTATACCTATATCTTGGTTAACTGATGTCGCCAAGGTAGATTCTGGTTTTCTGGTATTTTGTTTAACTAGATTAAGAGTTAACATGTTATTTTTTATACTTCCCGTTTTTGGAGCTGGTGGCTTCACCAAGGCAGAAGAATCGAGTAATTCTGCATGGTCAGGGAGCATATCCGTGTTAACTGTATTTTTCTTTCCCTCATTTGATGCAAGTGATTCTTCTGACTTGGCTTTTAGGCATACTTCTTTCCCATCTTCTAATTTTTTCTTCTGAGATTTTTTTTTGGAAGGGTTTTTTCCCTAGAAAACAGTATTTTCAAATTTTAAAAAAGATGGCTTTTATAGGCTTATTCTCTTGTGAGTGCTATTTAACTATAATTTTGGGCAGTATACTGGCCATGCAAATTTATTCAGTTTAAGAAATGTTCTAAGTATTTAACAACTTAAATATACCTTAAGATGTTTTTTAATAAGCATTATGCTCATTCAATATACGAATATTTCAGATCATTCAAAAGACCAGTAAAAAAAACCTTAACTGATTAACTTACGTTAATGACTTAATAATATATGTATGTGTTATCGTTTGCTTCTCTTAAGCTGTGCTTAAGACAGTTTAAAAATTGTCACTCCTTTAGTAAAAACACAAATTAGTGTTCCTTCTTTTCAAGTATCTGTTTTCCGAACAGTTATCTTTCCCTCTCACTTTTCCACCTGATCACCTGCCACCCTGCTCAGCATTATCCCCCCTCTTCCCTACTCCAATACCTGATTGTCTTCGGGCAAAGAAAATATTGTTGGAATTGCAGTTTGTTTTAAATATCGAATACCCCATCTGATGTCAAGAGAGTCAGGAGTAAAATGGTCACTACACAGGAACTGGTATTTACTGGGAACCCATGAATCTCGTTTCATATTCTTTAACCACTTTTCAAGTCTTTCTTTGTCATGTAGAGGAAACCTGAAATTAAAAAAAGAAAAAGAGAAGAAAAAGAAAACTTTGCTATTTTTATAATTTTGCCAGATTCCAGGCCTACATATCTATGTAACCTATGTGTCAAGTCCTGCAAAAGCAAGGAAAGCATGCCTACCAGATAAGAGCAACTCTACGCAACTCTTGCTATATCATCTCTGCCTTCAGAGGACTAAAATGTAAGATATGTAGCCAAAGCTGTTGTTTAAGAAGAATAGCTTGTAAAACTTAGAGTTCCTTCAAGTAAAATATGTGTGTTCCTACAAAGGATAAAATCTATTTATATTTTCTATGGATTACGTTCCATTTCTACTTTGTTGTATAGTTTGTCTAGAACTAGGAAAGAGCTTTGTTAAATTATAAATTCCTATTCAAATGTATTTCATACTAATACCACAAACCAAATGGTTTGTTGTCTCTAATCCAAGGCAATATTAAGCTTTAGGCTCTTATTTATATTAATATTATTTAAATAAGGAGACATTAATTCAAACAAATGGTTTAGCTGAATAAAATGAGTACTCTTATGAAACCACTAATATTCCATTTTCTCCACTGGTATCAGCCTCAATTTTACCCGTATGGAATTCAGTCTAATATTTCTAGACTTCTATAGCCAATGGACTGGGAACTCCAAATTCAGGTTCTGAAGGAAAAACTTTGATGCAAGAGAACTAAACATGTTAAAAAGGACAGACTCAAAAATGTTCATATGAAACAAATCAAACGCTGCAAAAGACAGAGAAAAGCAAGATGGCTCTCTATACGTTTTGTTTCTGTACTAACAAAAACCTGAATTTATAGTTGGTGCTCACATATGTGTATTGCAATCTGTTTTATAGGCAAAACTAGACTAACAGTAGAATCTGATTGAAAAATTTTCCTACCAGTCTAAAAAGGTTTGGGTTAAAGTGTATTAAACAACAGTTGGCAGTGGTTTATATTTCGTTTGATGGTTTTCCAAGAACATAGTCCAAGACATATACTACCTAATAATTACCTGTTTTAAAAAAATTGTAACAATATAAAGTCTCATATAAAATATAGCTGTTACACGTTCCCCTCCCCCAATCCTAACCATTTAGTTAATGCTTTGTGAGGCATAATTTTTTTTTTCTAAATTTCCATAACTTTATAAGATCCTAGGGGTTTTGTAGGAAATACTTTTTAACCCTGACATTCTCATATGGAAAAAAAATCAGATGATCTACCTTTGTAAGATCCACCATAAAAACAACTCTCACACGTTTTGAAAATATGTTAACCTTGCACATATCAATGACTTAGGTTGTAAGCATGACAGGCATAGTCAGAAAAGGCTCTGAAAGACAAATACAATTTTCTTTTCAGAGGACCTGAATTCTGCTAGCCATAGGTAAAGTTCAGACTATTTGTTGCATGAAAAATGAAAATGTGCCTTTTACAACGGTTTTTTAATATAAATTAATGTATAAGGATGCTGTTTGCAAATTATTTCCACTGTACCTATATGCTAAGTTATCAAAAGATTTAAAAAACACATTTTGTGTATATTTTTAACAGTAATTGGATTGCATCATTTCTTCAACAGGTAAAGCTGCAAGAAATCTCCTGCAATATGTTTCCTGAACACCTTGTATATTTCTACTGGTTCAATTTGTCTGACTGGTAATTCTGTTTCATTGTCTTATCTAATTCCCCCCAAAACATAAGATAATCACAGTAGAAACTGAACAATATATGCATATATTTACTAAATTCCCAAATTCATCTAAATTTATACTACAGATTAGTTACAATGCCAGCATGAGCAAATTCAATCCCTCATGTTTGATGATATCAGGGAAATAAAACCAACCCAATATTTATTTTGTGGATCACAAATGGAATTTTAAAAACATAAAAATAAAAAATCCCACTTTCACTAAATTCACATTTTGAGGGAAAAAATCTTTAATTGATCTTCATAATTCATTTGGCATTATTATTATTATTTTTCCTTAAAAATAGTAACTGTGAGATCCACAAAGATTTAAAAAAGTTTTAGTTTAGCTTACACCTTCCCAAATTCAAGGCCAAATAAATCTGGGAAATATGGGGCTAAAACAGGTTCAACATGATAATTTGCTACAAATCTTCCCAGAGCTAGAGCCATTAATATAGGAGCATTTCCCTATCAACTGACCATGGATTAGATTTTTTTTCTCCCAAAATATCTTTGCATCTCATGGAAGGGCTTTAAGGGAAACAATTCTGGAAATACTGCTATTTAATGTGATTTACTTGGGACTATCAGGTTTTTTCCTCCATTACTTTAAGATAATGAAAAGCAGACGAATCATTAGTGAATGAGAGCTTCAGGTCTAAAGTAAAATGGGCTTCACAAAATACCTGGGTTAAGTTTGAAGAAAGTAAAGATAACCACGTTTTATCGAAATGAATTACGTTTAAATACAAGAAAAAGAAGAAAATAGACTATTTAAAATGTTGATTTTCATATATATTAAGCAGGTACCGCCTGCATGTGGTTTTACCTCTTTACACAGTAAGTGCGAATTGAGTACTACAAATATCCTCACTTTACGAAAGAGAGACCAGAGGCACCGAGAGCTGAAATAATTCTCAGGTTGGTACTGAAACCAGGATCTGAACCCACTAAGTCTGGCTTTGGAGCCTGGACTATTATTATACAACGTTGCTTCCCTGTTCTCCTGAATAAAAACCAGTACTTCTAGTTTCAGGGAAATATTTCGTGGCCTTAGTAATTCAGAATAACATTTATCTACTCTATTCTCTGTAGGAATAAAGCATATACACAGCCCTGAGCAAGAGACAGTTTATAATTCCGGCTGTGACACAAAACTTTCAAGGCAGGTTACTAATCTTTCTGGGCCTCAGTTTCCTCAGCAGAAAAATGGGATTAAATTACACCTTTGCGACATAACTCACAGGAGGTGTAAATTAACTTTGAGAGCACGTTCTCACTTCGCAGGCTTTATGTACCTTAAATGGTGGTTAATGTTGTTCAATGAGGTGAGGTCAGGTAGATCGGAAACGCTATGAAACCCACAAAACACCGCGAACTTTACCGTTTTAACTTCTGTCAACACCCAAGCAGGCCCCTATTCCTCGCAACCAACCCGGCGTCCCCGCTCAGGAAGGACACTGCCAGGTAAACTGGCCTCAAGCCATCACGCTCTCCTACCGCCCGGTGACCGAGCAGGCCCGGGGAGCTGAGGACTAATCAATACAGCAGACAGGAGATCCCCAAGTCCTGGTCCCCAAAGCCACAGGACCGCGGCCCAAATGCGAGGCTGACGCTTCTGCTGCAGGGACAACTTACGGGTAAAAACTCAGCTTCCGGTCCTTATTGTTTCGTCCCCGGCGGTTCTTACAACAAGTCGCAGCGCAATAGCGGGGCATCGCTTTGGAGAGTCCCCGGAAGACCGGGACCGGCGAGGGGCTCAAGCCGGCCCTCCTCGCTGAGGCGGGGCCGCAGGTCCAAGCCGCCGGAACCACTGCGCCTGCGCTGGGATCTGCCCGTGGGCAACACGCCACAGCCGCAGCTTCACTTCCTCCTCCGCCTTCAGCACTGCCTTTTCGGGGGTTGGGGCCAGAAGTGACGCACAGGCTGAGCGGCAACAACAGTTTTCCACGTGCGCGTAGGGAGCCAGGGTCAGGTGGGCAGGCGGGAGCCAATGGGGAATCGTTTCGTGTAGGTCTTCCCCTGGGTGGTGGTTCCAGTAGGGACCGTCCGCTTGAGGTGAGCGGGCTGAGAGGGGACTCGGCGTCGTCGGCGGCAGCGGGAGGAGCGCGAGGTCGGTGGGCAAGCGGCAGTGGGGTTCACTCCGGCTCCGGGAGGCCGCGACGGAGTCCGGGGTGAGGGGCCGGGCCTGAGCAGTCGAACGGAGGTGGTCGTCAGCCTTGCCGGTGCCTCCGTTTTGTGAAGGAGAAGCAGCAGCCAGAGGGTGCGGGTGAGGACGAGGCCGGGGTCGCGGGGGCTTTGGAGAGACCCCGGAGCCGTGGCCTGTCTTTGTGGGCAGTCTTGGCCTCGGTGTCCGCCGCGGTCGCTGCGAGGGCTTCGGGCTGCATGTTCTTGACGAAGGGAGTAGGAGAAAGGAGATGGCTTGACCACAGGATCGTGCGATTTGTGTTTCGGAGTGTGCTGCTGGCTCTCTCTGGCGCCAGACAGCTCTTCCCAGGGCTGTACCCCGGGCTGCGGGGAGCTCCTACGGCCGGGCCTGTTCGGACAGGGCGTGTGCTGGTCGCCTTTGGGTGAAGGTTGGCCGGTCCAACCCAGCCGGCCAGCGGCGCTGGGGAGGAAGGCCCAAGCTGCTCTCCAGCGGGTGGGTCTTGGGAATGAGAAGTCAGTATAATAGAAAAGTTAGTCTACTAAAAATGATCACATGTTCAACCTGAAACCATGGAGTAACGTTTATTAAATTAATGAGATGCCTCTGTGTGGGGATTAGACTCGCTCTTTGACTAGGGAGCAACCGGCAGTCGGTGCGGCGTCCACGGTACACGCTCCGTTGTGTTCTTTAAACCAGGAGGTTGTACTTGATCCTTGGTACTCGTGACCATGAGTAACTATGTGGAAAGAAGTAATCCACCTGCTAATTACGTTCAGAAAAGGCCACAGGAGAGGAAGGCAGGCAGTTTCCACAAACCATAGTGTCTTTTCGTCAGCCTAGTTATTTCATCATAGGTTATTAAGGACTCCTGTAGCACAGCATTCAAAACACAAAATCACTTGATATACTATCAAGAGTTCTAAGTTAAAAATTCTTTAAGAGTTTAAAAGTAAGACAAGTATTTTTAACTACTGAGTAGTTTGAAAATAAGAGTCTAATTTGTCTGAAGTACAAATTCTCAAGGTTCATTTTCCTGGTAGACTTAGCAGAAATCTTAAATTCTATTAATTACGAGTTTTAAACAGAATTTACTTATCCATGCTTCTTTGTTAAACATTTGGGATATTACATTTGGAAAAAAAAAAAAAAAAAGCATGCTATTGTGTTGTCAGTATTAGTATTGTGTTAAGATTGTCTATTTGCAGTCCTTGGTTCACCTTGCTGAAATGAAACTTAGATTGGTGCTTCTTAGGGAGGGAAGATCACCACTTATTTAGACATATTGGGCTATTTACCTTGTTAATGCACTTTTTTCCCCCTGTGAAGTTAAATACGTTATCACCCTCTCTGAATATGAATTCTTGAAAAGTGGAATCCTTTAAAATATTCTTTGGGATCTATTACACCCCACCCCCCTTTTTAAACAGTGTTTGCATTTGAAGAATCTTCGATATTAACTGGTAAAAATCACTTATAGAAGATCTTGTGTCTTCTCTGTGTATGACCAAAATATTAGTGGAAAGTCAAAGCCAAGAAAGATTTTTCTCAAATTGCTTGAATTCTGTTTGCATTCAACAAGGTTAAGCTAATTTGGGAGTCATAAAACCCATGTAAGTGAAATGACATGTGAACAGATGCAAGATAACTATATGTCTAACATTTTGATATCTCATTAAGTTTACCTTGTATCCCAAAGGTTCATTGGGTTTCTTTTAGAAGAAAAAAAGTCTTTAAGATTACCTCCATGGGTAAAATTTTTTTCTTTTCTTTTTTAGGTTATTAGAAATGGCTACTCCCCAGTCAGTTTTCATCTTTGCAATATGCATTTTAATGATAACAGAATTAATTCTGGCCTCAAAAAGCTACTATGATATCTTAGGTGTGCCAAAATCGGCCTCAGAGCGCCAAATAAAGAAAGCCTTTCACAAATTGGCCATGAAGTACCATCCTGACAAAAATAAGAGCCCTGATGCTGAAGCAAAATTCAGAGAGATTGCAGAAGGTAATTAAATGACTGTCTCCGAGGTCTCGTGGGTATACACTAGTAGGGTGAATGATAGCTAAGAAGTATGTATGTATTTAAAGGTGGAGTGGATAGATGAATGATAGTCGATAATTTTATTGGTGTACAGATCTAAAAATGTTGAAAATGTATTATTTCATTCTATTATTTATAAAATAGCTGTTGTGTCTGTGTGAAAAGGAATTTTTGGTGTCCAAAATTCTTAGCAACTAACTTATGAAACAGTATTTTACTAAATATATAGACTAAATCTAAAAAAAATTAAAATAGATTCTAAAATGCCTTTAAAATTTTCTTCTTCACTTGATCTACATCTTAAAACCACATTTGTCTGTAAAGGAAAGTCTGAAACAAATTTTGACTTAAGACTAGTTCTAAAACAAATTGGACCTCCTGAACATTCAGTAATTAATAGTGGAGGAGGTAACTGAGTAGGGAGTTGGAATTAAGTATTTACTTTAATAGTAAGGAAGTGAAAAATCTGAATTCCCATTAATTGGTTATATTTGACCATTTAATTCATTAATACAAGTAATGGTTTCACAGAAATAATCTGAAAATTAAATAACTCTATGATTATTGCCTACATGTTTATTTGTAGTAATGGTAGCATTCACTTAACAAATATTTATTGGGTATTTACTGGAGGTGGCATTGTGCTAACGGCTCGTAATACAGCAGTGAACAAGACAAAATCCCTGCCTTGTTTTATGATTTTTATTTTAATTTCATGCTGTGTTCGTAGTGTTTTGCTTTTACTTGTGACTTGAAATCCTTTCCTAAAATAGAGTTGAGTTCATTTATTCGAAGAGATTTGAATATGTGTAATTTTGAATATTTTACCTTCAGTTACTAAAGTATTTTTTATCTTTTTCAGCATATGAAACACTCTCAGATGCTAATAGGCGAAAAGAGTATGATACACTTGGACACAGTGCTTTTACTAATGGTAAAGGACAAAGAGGTAGTGGAAGTCCTTTTGAGCAATCATTTAACTTCAATTTTGATGACTTATTTAAAGACTTTGGTTTTTTTGGTCAAAACCAAAACCCTCAGTCCAAGAAGCATTTTGAAAATCATTTTCAGACACGCCAGGATGGTTCCAGTAGACAAAGGCATCATTTCCAAGAGTTTTCTTTTGGAGGTGGACTGTTTGATGACATGTTTGAAGATATGGAGAAAATGTTTTCTTTTAGTGGTTTTGACACCACCAATCGGCACACAGTACAAACTGAAAATAGATTCCATGGATCTAGCAAGCACTGTAGGACTGTCACTCAACGAAGAGGAAATATGGTTACTACATACACTGACTGTTCAGGACAGTAGTTCATTCTTTTTCTGTTCTAATTAAACACAAGTAGTTGACTCTTCCTCAGTATCTTTGATGTAAAACAATTTTCTGTGAACTATTTTGACAAGTGCATGATTTCACTTTAAACAATTTGATATAGCTGTTTAATAAACATAAATTGTTTTTGGTAAATTCAGCAACATTCAACTAGTAGACAAAAAGCTAGTTATTAATTTCCCTGATTAGAAAAGGCTTTTTTTAAAAAAAATATAAGTCTGCCTAGTCCTTTTTCTCTACCTGCTCTTGAGCTCATTAATGTGGCTAGTTTTATTACCAAGGAAAGATTGAGTTTGCCTAATGCATATTTAAAGCTTAAACTTTAAAAGTTATTGTAGATTCAAATTGTGTGAACTTGAGTGATACTTATAGTGAAACCTTTGCTAATTTAAAGTTGCATGCTCTGTTGCATTTGTGACTTGTGTTGCTAAATGTACATGGAACTGTATAATTGGTCATTTAGCAAAGGAGAACAGTATCTTGGTTAATTGCCACTGAAAACTTTAGAAAGGGATGGTTTGATATGTACCACAGAACTGGGGCCTTTCTACAGTAGAATTGGGGTAAAGAAAATGAGTGTGTTGCTCATAGTAATTTAGGCTGAAAAAAAGTTGAAAGCTTATGAAATATTGCCAAGAGATTGTTACATGTTTGGTCCCTGGCTGATGATTTTGTAGTGTAGAAATCATAGCTACATACACATCTTTTCACATTTCTTTCTTAGTTGTTGGCACTCTAGATCTTAATATGGATTTATGTGTATTTTGTGTATGTGTGTAGTTTCTCTTCTTTGCACTTATCTCTAGAGATTGACTAATACCTCATTCTGTTTGTAAAACCAGCCAGTAATTTCTGTGCAACTTTATTATGTGCAATATTTTTAAATCCTAAGAAATGTGTGCTTTTGTTTTCAGGTAGACTTATTTCTTTAGTTCTGCACTTTTCCACATTATACTCCATATGAGTATTAATCCTATGGATACATATTAAAACTAGTATAATGTCTCATACAACATTGTATGTGAGTGAAAGAAATATAAATATTTACAACCTGATATTCTTTGTTGTCATTTAATTGTTAAAAGTTTTTTATGCAATTCTAGAGGCATGGAAGGTGTATAAGCCATGGGGCATATGTTAATCATAGGCTATATTCTTTTTTTTTTTTTTTTTTTTTTTCTTTTTTTTTTTTTTTTTTCTTTTTGTTTTTTTTTTGTGACCGGCAACGGATCGCAACCCTCAGTGTCGCGCCCATACCGGACCGGGACCGGCAACGGGATCGCAACCCTCGGTGTTGCGCCCGCACCTCGCTCAGCCAGTGAGCGGGAACCGGTCTGTATGTGGGATCCGAACCCTCGGCGGGAGTGCCGCCGCGCTCCCAAGCAGCGCACTGTAGCAGTGCGCCACCAGGCCGGCCCATAGGCTATATTCTTGAAGTTACCTTTGACTAACCTGAAAATCCTGATAGGACCTTGTTTGATTGCTGTTTGGTAATTTTTATTGCTTTCTTATCATTCTTCTCTCACAAATTTTGGTAGCTTGAAGATTTTGTTAATTATAATTTTGCTGTATTTACTTGCTAGGAGCAAGTGTTCTACCACTAGTTCTTTCCCCTTTAAGCCTTGCTGGGAAAAAGCAGAAACTTTGCATAAAGGTGTATTTTATGATCATCCTTAATTTGAAAACTGTTAAGAAAATGAATATATTCTGTTATACTTATGTACCTCACTTTTGTTTGATAATAAAATAGCCATATCTTGAATTTTGGGCTAAGGATTACCTGTAGCCTGTTAAACAGAAGAAATTAAGCCCCCCCCTCCCCCCCAAAAAAACCTTATTTTCAAATCAGGATTAACTTTAAGGTTGCATTACTTTGATATTGTTAGCATGTGTCCCCTTTTTTTTTCCAGGGTCTGATTATCTTTCTTGTTATCACTATCCTGAACTTTTATTTTGATCCTCTCTATTCTGACCTTCCTTTTGGCCATTTGGCATAATTTTTGCAAGGAAAAATGGACCCTGAAACATACAAACTTAAGATACAAACTTAAAGATACTTAGATAATCTGTAGGTATGTGTGTGTTTGAGTAGTTTGATATAAGCAATTGAAAATTAGATCCATAATAAACATAAGAGTTTCTCAAATAACAAATTTTGTCTATTTTATGATTTGTACAGATTGAATGTACAAAGATAGAAAATGGAAAACTTCTGTATGTGAAGAAATGACCAATAAAATAGCTTGATCTACACCCCCTACAGAAATGACCATGTATAAAGTCTATCAAAGTGTTTTTTTACTTCTGGATGAAATAGTAATTTTCATATCATGACTTCTAAGCCTGAACTAAATTCTGTAATTCTTCAGTATTTCTGTGCTGGATATGTCTTGAATTGGATGCTATAAGCATATAGTAGGCATGTGATGAGATTAGTTTTATGATAATTCAGATTGCCCAAGGTCAAGTAAGGATTTGTACATTTGTGGAGTAGTTAATTTTTTGAAATAGATTTTTGTTGAGCAGTTAAAACATACTAGAGAAAAATGAAATCATTGCTAAACAGAGTAAAGAGGAGATTGGTACCAGCAATAGGTCTCTAAAGTTTTCTTCATGTTAATCTTGCCACCTTCAGTTCCAGATGGCAGTGATAACAAATAAATCTGCCCTGATCAGGTCAGCTAAATTACAGTGCCTTGGGGGATCTGGCATAAGTCAGTAGTCATGTCCACGTGGAAAGCATTATCATAAGAGCATTTTTTTTACTTAGAAGCAACTGTGATGGCACCAGAAAGTTATAAGGTAACCTTATAGGTTACTGGAATGCTTCTTGTAACCCTTACCCTAAATCCCTGCATGTAGGATGTAACCTAGTAACAATCCCAAATCTATACATATGTACAACAGATAGAAGAACTGATGAAGTGATTAGGTGGGGCTATCTTCTCTCTCTTTTGATTCTTCTTCCTGTGATTATAAAGTGCTAAGCTCTGCTGGCCCTTTTCAGCGTACATATCTCAGGGTAACCTGACCTATGTGTTTCCTCAGTTACAATTGTTATTGGCTCAATAAATCCTATGCTTTATATGCCTGGCCTCAGTTTCTTTTAGGTCAACAACGGGTTGAATATAGTCATTCATGATTGTTTTCCTTCTGTCTTGATCCCAATGAAATGACAAAAAAATATAAGAATGAAGGCATAATAGTGCTGGAAAACAGCAGCCTGAAGTTTGGATACATTCCAGGAATGTATAAAGCAGAAGAGTTTGGACAGGGAGAGAAATCAAAAACCACAGCCAAAGTGTCCCAGAGAACCATTAAGGCTTAGATTGGGGCCTGGGGGGGGGGAAGGAATGAGCCACAGTTCAATCATGTTAATTAATTGAGTAACTGTATTGGGAACCCCTGCTATATCCTGTTAAGCATTTGTTGACAGAAGTAGCTTATTCTTCAGACTGGGGACTAAGAACAACTCTTGAAAGAAAAGGGATTAATGGTAATCATCCCTAGGAAGGCTCTCCAGTGAGGGTATTGGGAGCCTGATAGGAAGGCAGAGTAGAGGCCAAGTGAATTTTCACTTGCGGGTGGAGAAGATGCTGGTGAGAATGGCAGCACTCCACTCCCAGAGTAAAGTCTCCCTGCTTTGGCACCTGTGGGAATAATAGCTTCTACGTGCTGACCACATACTCACCTGTTGGCACCTGCCTATTAAGAAGCTCTGATAATTTACTCAAATCATAGCTCCTATTCAAAAAGGCAATCCAGGGCCGGCCCTGTGGCTCACTCGGGAGAGTGCAGCGCTAGTAGCCCCAAGGCCACAGGTTCTTATCCTATATACGGATGGTGGCCGGTGCTAGCCCGCTGAGGTGAGCGTGGTGCAGACAATACCATGCCAAGGGTTGCGATCCCCTTACCGGTCAAAAAAAAAAAAAAAAAAAAAAAAAAGTCTGCATAACTGCTGAGGAAACTGCCTTTCTCAGCTGTCTGTGCAGTTTGATGTAGTTCTTATAAACATATACAGGTATCCAAAGAAAACTAAAAACTGGAAAAGAAGCCTCAACAACCAAACCTGACAGAAATGTAATTCAGGGACTGAAAGATAATTTAAAATTTTAGTGTTATTAGACTTCTGATGAAATACTGCATCAATGAATCAGGCATATTTTCTTATCTTAATATGCTTACTCCAGAATTTCCTTCCATGTACTGATGGTGTCAGACGGAATAGATGAAAAAATATGAATCCACATTTAGTTTACATTTACATCAACTGCGACCAGTGTCAATGGGAGATAAGAGCAGATGTGCAGTACAAATTTTGCCAACCATGCAGGCCTATTTTGTCTTATCGAATTCAGATTCTTCCTTTTATCTCAACTTTGCTACTCAGCTACCTCCTCAACTTCTCTCCAGACCTTGCCCCTAAGGTAGAGAGCTACCTAGGTAATTTGTTGTGCAGTTCTATTTATTGTTATTCATTACGATACATCATAAAAGGTAAGCAGGATTAGAATGATGACACTTGTGGAAGAAGATGAGCGATAACCATAATGAGCAAGGAAATTACTATGTAAAGTGATAAACTCTATGTAAAAAGAAAATGTAACACTATGGGGAGGAGAATTGGGAGAGCAGGCATGTTGAGGATGTGTTGTAATTTTCAACAGGATGATTAGCACATTTCAACAGAATGATTAGCACAGGCCTCAGTGAGAAGGTAGATGTGCATAAATGCCTAAGGTAGTTATTCGTCTGGAAGGTGGAAGCATGTGTGAGAAGTTCTAGGAACAGTAAAGAAGCCAGTGTAGTTGGAAGCCAATGAGGAAAGGACAATAGTGGGAGAGGAGTTCATATAATAGGGTTTGGGAGCAGCCCTACAGATTATGTAGGGCTTTGTCAGTTTTTGTAAAGGATTTGGCTTTGGAATGTAATGTGATAGCTGTGTTTTGAGCAGATATATGATTTCATCTTTTAAACATTTTAAAAGGATCACTCTAGCTGCTGGGTTAATAATATTCTATAAAGGGTCAACAGTGGACTAGGGAGACCAGTTAGACTATTTCAGTATTCCAGGATGAAAAATTGTCACAGCTCACACACCTCACCAGGGTTGTAGCAGTGGAAGTGATGGGAAATGGCTGGATGTATTCTGCAAGTAGAGATACCAGGGTTTGGTTATGGATTGAAAGTAGGCTTGAAAGAGGAGGAAAGGATGATTCTAATATTCAGGTTCTGAGTAACTGGAAAGATAGAGTTCCCCTTAACTAAGATAGAGAGGCTGCAAGAAGAAGACATTTAAGGGAGGAAATCAGAAGTTCAGTTTGAACATACAGAATTTGAAATGAGTAGGTGGGTGGAGATGTGTCTTGGGTTTGGGGGAGAGAACTGAGCTGAAAATGTACATTTTGGAATTGTCAAAATGTAGGTGACATTTAAAACTTTGAGACCAGATGAAGTCATAGAGGGAATGTTTATAGATATAAAAAGGAACAATCACAGAACTGAACCCTCAGGTACTATTAAGATTAAAAGTACAAGGATAAAAGGAACCTACAAAGGTATCTGAGAAGAAACAGCTAATGAGTTATGAGTTTTGTGTCTTGGGAGAAGGTGAGATAAGTATATTAAGAAGTAGAAAGTGGTCAACTTTGTATAATGCTACTGCTAAGTCCTGTAATATGATGCCTGAGAACTGACCAGTTTCTTAGCAATGTAGATGTCAGAAATGACCTCAACAAAACCAATTTCTGTCACCTGATGGTGGTGTGTCTGTTGGAGCAGGTTTAAAACAGAATGGCAGCAAAATTAAGTGCCATTAAAGAAATTATTTGGAAAAGAATTTATAGTGAAAACATTTCTGAACAGAATTTTTAATATGAACATTTTAAGAGTATCAGTTGTGATTACATCCATGTACCAACAGTTTATTCTGCAGAATGGTGTTCTATGGGATGTTAATAAGTATGCTGTGAAAAAAAAAAATCATGTTCAAATAAATTTGTGAAATCTGGATTAAGATTCAAACCTTGTTTAATGTTTCTCTATAGATGAGTGC